ATTCATTTTGTTAAATTTTCTCCATCTTTAAAAAAATGTGGAATTCCTTTTTTTGGTGTAGATGTAACAGTATTATCAGGTGCACAGCTCTTTTCATAAAGGATCAGCTAGTTATTTTAAAAGGAACCACACAAAGAGAAGAAGCAGGTTTTTAGGTACAGCTAAAAATTTCTTAAATATTCCCATTTCTTGGGTATGAGTGGTTTGATAAACTACCCCTGGATATGAAACCCTGTGTGAGAGCAATCCAGGCCTGTGTTTTAGAGATTTTGCAAAAAAGAAAAAACCGTATGTGCTCAAATGCTGGTGTAAGTTATATTGCAGGTGACAGACCTGCATTTCCAATTTTACGGGTTTCACAGTGCTGCTTGGATTTGTTTTTTACCATTTAAATTGTATTACATCTGAAATTTCTGTTATCTTTTAATTATATTAATATCTAAATTCATATTGAAAAGTGTGGCTTATCAGCCTACACAGTACTTTTCACAAAACTGAATTAAATGTCTTGGAAAAAAAATTTAATTCACGTTTATTGAGATGAACGACAAAAGAGCTTATCTGCCCTCTCTCTGCTTTTTCTTATTTATATTCCTAGATGCTTATTTTATCTGGCTTTCAGGTCCCCAGTGTAGCGGATTTTTCCGGTTTAAAATAGAGCAATCCCTCTGCAGGCAAACAAATGTTTTTCCAAATGAGAAAGATAAGTATTTGGCTTTTTGTGCCTTACTCACATTTACTGGTGATGTGAGGAGGTTGGGCTGTTTTTGTGTTGATCTTGGCAGTGTTGCTGTGTTCAGTAACTGGGCATTTCTGCTGTGACTTATGGCAGTTCAGAATATCAAATATTATCCCTAACTTAATTTTCTGCATATAACTATCACAAAGTGATGCAACTTTTTGTGTGCCTCCTTGTTTAACCAGGGCTATAATTTTTGCAGCATGTGTTTGGTGTGGGAAGACAATTTAATGGAGACATATTTCCTCCCATTTACAAATCAAACCCTCCCAATAAACAATGAGTCAAATCACAGGGAGCTTAGGGAGATGCCTTATCTCTCATATAATTTTCTCTTTGCTGGGTCATGGGTAATTTGAGGCAGCAGCTACGTTTCCCTGTCTCTGTCAGATGGAGCTCAGTGGAATGTTGGCTTGAACATCTCACAGGGTGATATAAAATGAGCACAGAAGTGGTTTGTATAAAAAGCATAATCTACTTTCATCTTTACATTTCATTTTTACCATATATTTAGCAGAATATGAGGCAGTCATTAATGAAGTTGCCAAACTTGCACTGTGAAATCACTTCATCATGCAATCAGAATGTGTACTTTGTGTTTGGAGAGGGATGGAATAGTGTATACCTATTCAAGGTCCTTCTAGCCCTTGGTTTGGGTTTAAAACTCTTAATTAAGAGTCCTGGAACCAAAATGCTTTTGTCCATTCTTTGAACTCTCAGTAGGGAGAAGATGCTGCCACAGAGAGAGCTTGGACCCACATTTCAGCCAGCTCTGTTTAGATGGTTAAAGATCACCATCAGCAGCTGAGAGACCAAAATCATGCAGGGTGTAAATGAACAGGAGTCTGGTTATTGCAATTATCCCTATTGAGGCTCAGGGTCCCTTGGGGCAGGTTCTGGGTAATGCAAAGCAAAGGGGCAGTCTCTGCCTCACCGTGGTCCATGGCCTCACTGTGATCCATCCATGGATCACAGCCTGGGATCCCTTGCTGGGACCACCAAGGGCTTCAGCCCTGCTGAAGTTCCTGCCTTGGGGGCACACTGATGCTCTGGCATTTCTACATGATCTGCTTTCTTCTACACCTCAGTGTGGAGCTCTGAGCTGCCTTGTTCAATCTCCAAAGTGGGAGTTGAGTGCTCTGGGCTCAATCTGTGTTACCATACCCACCTCCTGTTTTCTTGAGGTCATTTTTTTCCCAGTTTGTTGTTTTGTCAATCAGTTTTATACTTGAGTGATATAAAAGTGATATGAAAAGCAAAGTAAATGAAGAGAAGGCCATGCCTTAGGGTCTGTTTATATGGCAGTGCACTTACTGAAGCAGGCCCTGTTTGCTCAGGTTTATAAGTTTTTGGGGGCAGGAACTATTCCTCTGCATTGGTCTGAATTGGTGTCAAGATGGTGGCACCCAAAGTTTGAGGAGGGTCTTTAAGGAGTTGTCACTCTTGCTAAAACTGAGATACTCTCAAGCACTTAGCAGTTGTTGAGGCTGTTCAGGGAGATGTAAAATGCTTGTGTTTGGCCAACAGCAGCATCTTTCTGAGAAAGAGGTTTGTGTGACCAAGGGAAAAGGTATGAAGTGCAAACATGGAGCCAGGAAGTACCTACCGGAGCAAGGCTGATGAGATCCACAAGGATGACTCTGCTGGGTGATGTTTGCCAGCCTTGCCATCTCCTCTGTGTCCTGATAAGGAAAGTGGATTCTCAGAGAAACCCCCATCCTGGCTTTGCATATTCCATTCTGACTTTGCACCTGAAATCATGACTGTGTAAATATACATTTGACAAAAGCACAAGGAAAATTCTCATAGCAGTGGAACTGAAATAACAAGATACTTCTTCAAATTTAGCTCCTTATTCAATATTGACTCACCTGTGTCACAACACACAGTGTACAGGGGTGTTGATACACCAGACAACTTGGCAGAGTTCCATGTTATAGCCCAATTTTATATTTTTATCTGGCCTGCCACTTGATACCTAGTATGCCTGAATAATTTACGATAATTGTGTCATATTCTCTGTCATATTAGGACTGATTTGCATGACATGTGGGAACATTAAAAACTGCAGACCACCTGGAATGGAGTCCCCCAATGGATAAGATTTGGAGTTATTCCTTGATTTCTCAGCCTGGTGGTTTGGACATGTGGATGGGTTTTGCTTTGCAGCCAAATCATACTAGAGATGGAGAGGAGTATTTCAGAAAAGGCTGAGATTCTTGGGTGATATTATTCCAACAGCTCAGGCTATTTAAAAAAACCCAAACCAAATTAAAAATGCAACTACAATATGAGACTACAATACTTTGTTAGACCTTGAATGAGAAAATAATTACCAAATCAAGATAAACACAGTCATGGAAATATTTGTGAAAAATGTGTAGTTCTGATCCTGTCCATGTAATGATTTTGTGCCCTATCCACTAGGTAAAAAGCTTGTTTATTTGATATCAGAAAATGTGGCATTTGTTTGTCATTTTCTTTAACTGAATTAAGCTAGTACTGACCGAGTGGTTTGCAAGAACTAATGAGAGCTGAACACCATCTGGGATGTCTAAACCAGGGCCAGGTTATCAGATATTCAGAAGTTCCAGTGTGGCTATTTGTGAAGGTGTTTGCCATGCCCAAAAGTTTACACAATAATTTGGAAAGCTTGTTTGAAGAGATGCTCAGAAGGACAGTCAGTATCTGGGCAGAGCTTTTCAATGTCTTCACCTCCTTATAAAATCAAATGTGGGGAGAGTGGCACCTCATATTGCTAAGTGGGGCCAAACATGAGAAGTCTTTATCAGCAGTACTGGGAAATACTTTTGGGGCTCTGAATTGCAGTATTTGGGTGACTGGGCATTTTAGGGACTGCAGTGCCTGCACTGGAGGCTGTTCTTCAGACAATCCCTGTCTACAGCTGCAGATCCTCTGCTATATTTTGGTTTCTGGAGCTGGTCTGCAAGGATTCAGGAGGAGAGATTGCTACCTTTTGCTGCTGTGATCCCTTGCTTAGGACCTGCATGCAGCTTCAAAGACAAGCCATATGAAGACATTATCATTCTGGTCTCATCCTAGTATGAGACATCACAGAAGAAAATTAAATAAGGAGATAATACGAAAACTGCTTTACAAATTTTACCACGAGTATTTTGAAGGCAAAGCAATGCAGATAAAATACATGGAGCAATTCCAAATCCATTAGCGGCGGATGTGCTTAGAAACCCCATGCCTGTTATGGAAATTTGTCGGCAGGTGTCCATAAATTGATAAAAATGCATTCTCTAAGCAATGCTCACAAAACTGAGGCTGGAACAGTAATGGAGAAGCTATGCAAGGCATTGGCAATAACTATTCTCCATAGCTATACACAAGGAGAGAGAAATACAAAGCTGGTGAAATGAGAATTAATGGCAATCTAACTTTACAAGAAGTGATGTCTCACAAATGCCTATAGAAGAAATTAAGTCTGTTTAATTAATTAATTTAATTAATTTATTTAATTAATTTTCTAATGCAGAAATTGGGAAATGAAAAAATTGTGGGATATAATCAGATATAATATAATATTTATAATATTATCAGATATAATCAGAGCTTGGTCTGAATCACAGCCAAGTGAAAAGCATTTCAAAGGTATGCCTGTCTTTGTCTTCTCAACCCTGTGCTATAGAATAGGGTCTGAACAAATAAAGAAGCATGTGATGTTATAGATGCAGTAACTACCTGGTCAAAGGTATTTAGAGCAGGTAGTTACTATTTGTATATCTAAGGTGAGAATGTATGCAAATAGTTCTATGGGCAATGTTAGCTTTGAAGCAACTTTCTTGTAGAAAATTAGGTTCAGGATCAACAGAGGACAGTGACATGATAAATTTTGGAAGGGGGAATGGAAGATACTGTGGGTAATGCTGTGTGAGGTTTTAAAGCACAGAACATCCTCATGCATATGACCAAGCCACTGAGGCTTGGAAGCTTGCCTAGAGGTGGGATTTGAATTATGGACGCTGCTGACAAAATTCTGTATAAAGTTGTTTCTGTTGAAGTGAAAAAAACAAACCCAAACCAGACATCTGCTAACATATGGGCATGAAAATGTCACCTGCAGGATTTCAGACTCAATTTAAATGAATGAGCTTGTTGTGGATTAAATAAACCAACAGAGCATATCTGTATGAAATACTAATAATTGCACATATTAATTTTTTTTTTTCTTTTCTAATGCAACATATCTGAGAAAGGAAACAAACCAACTGTACCACATTTTTAATTACAGCTGTGAACATACAACTCTTGGAATGGTTTATACAGAATTGTTTCACAGAGGGAACTCAAAACATCTATAACTGACCTTCAGGGGAAGCTGTAAGTATAGAAATGAGGAGATTTTTATTAGATTCCCATGGGAGAAATAAATTCCAGTCTCTTCATACTATATATAAAAGTGAGAATGGGATGCATATGAAAGAGAGATGTCTCTTTGTATGTTACTTTCAGTAGAAAGTGCTCATTTAAAGCATTGGGGAATCCTGGTACAAGCCTTTTGGAGGTGCTTTTGATTTTGTTATGTAAAATTAAGTGAAGGACATGGCTGTGAAGCAGGTGGATAAGGTGTCAGTGATCACACTGCAGGACGGGTCAGTCTGGTGTGTATTTGTCTGATGTCCTTTCTACTTGACCAGAATCAAACATTGCAGAGTTCTTGGGAAGTGCCAGCTAATACGGTGTAGGGATCCTGTTGGTAGTAAGACTTTTGAGCTTGAGGGGGATATTGAACAGGAACTACTCCCTTCATGGTGTCAGCTATGTCTGCTATGCCATTGAGTATAATCTCTGCACTGCATGACTGGGAGGGACTTTTGGGTCTTTTATTCCACCTCCTTTACTGGGCCTGCAAATGTTAAGTCTGAACCTGACAGGAGAACTCAGGTGGTTCCCTAGCTGGATGAGCCAAAAGCACGAGCTCTCTAAAATGTGTTAGGCCAGCTAAGTCTCAAAATGCTCCTTTACTTCCACTGTCCAAGAGGTTCTAGGTGACCATTTCATGCATCATGCAACATTTAGTCTGCAGACACGTGGAGTTAGGAGAGATGAATCTCACCTCTGTCATCCACATCAGGTGGATTATGACCTAGGAAACTGTGTGACTTCCAGCACAACTCCCTTCTGAGAGGAAAGAGGAGAGGAAACAGCAGAAGTAAGAAATCTGACAGCAGGTTCAAGCTCCTTCTTTTATGTTAGGGTTGGCCTGTGCCTGACTGTCTTCACTTTGCAGCTTTTCTATTAGGCTAGGGGGTAAGAGGGGAAATGGATTGTTTTAAGATGGGGTAAGCAGATAAATGAAGTAAAATGAAAGAGAGCCTCCTCCCAGCTCCAGAGCTGCTACAGACAAAGAAAATCAATCTCTGGGGGGGTTTGGCCCCCTTATCAGAGTTTCTCAGGAGTGTGCCCTGCCTCCATTTCCCAGCAGATATTCCTCTTGCCGCTTCTCTACTAAATAATTCAGAGAAAAATAGGGAAGGCTTGGATCTCTGGGAGACCTCATGCCTGAGCAACTTCCAGCACAAGCTGTTCCAGGAGAGGCTGTCACAGGCTTACGCTTTGTCCAGGCTGTGGTTGGCCAGGGATGGGCTGCAGCCTCCCTGGTATGCTCCAGACTTCACACCAGCTTTGGTTAGGCAGCATAAAATTTTATCTGTGTGCCTCGAGGGGTTCCTATTCTGAAAGCAAAGAGAAATTTTTCATCAAACTTTTATGGCAGGTTGTAGTTAATTTACATGAGAACTCTTCTTCCATTTCAGAGCATGGAAAATGTTTTTATAGTAGCTGTGCATGATGTCTGTTCCAATTCTTCTACATCAATAACCATCTTTTCAGGACTGAATTTATTAATTCAAAACTCAGCAAATATTTTCAATAAGCATGAACTGTTGGAGAAGCAGATGATGATCTATTAATTGTGAATTTTAAAAGCCCCATTTTTAAAAAAACAGTTGTATTTGAGAACATTGTACTCTGTGCTCTGAATGGAGTTGCTTTACCCTTAATTTCTTGTGGTATCTCAATGTTACATGGACAGGGCTAAGTAGCAGCAGCCGAATGGCTTCATCTCTTCCACACTGTAGCTATGTCTTTCATGCAAAACACTTCTTCAGTGACAAACTGAACAAGTGTTTCCTGCTCATCTTTGCCATTCCACTAATGATTTTAGAGTCCCTAATGTATTCCATTCATTTGTCTTTTTCAAGCATCAGTGTCCAAGCTATAACTTGTCTGGAAGGCACCCATGCCCTTGGTGACCTCAGTCACTCTCCTCTGTTCCCTGACAGGTTCTATTGTCTTCTGTTGGGAAAACTGCAGCATAAACTGTGTGTTTAGAGCAGCATAATCCTTTTTTTCACAAAATGAAGAAATTATGGATGCTTCATCCACAAAAGTGACTCTTGGATGTGGCCACTGCATAAATAAAATGTCCTTGTAATTAAATCTCTGAGTGAATATTCTCATGAACCTCTTAATCTCTCCTCCTCTCCCTCTTTCTCTCCTCTCCCTCTTTCTCTCCTCTCCCTCTTTCTCTCCTCTCCCTCTTTCTCTCCTCTCCCTCTTTCTCTCCTCTCCCTCTTTCACTAGCTTTGCATCTGCCTGGGTGGAGCCCTTTTTCTCATTGCCTGTTTTCTCATTTCTGTCCAGCAATGTGCTTTACCCAGTTTTAATGAACTACATTGCATTACCCAAACCCTCCCTTGCAGGTATAATGGCACTGTTCAAACTAATAATGATAATCATACAATGAGAACCAGCCACACCCTGTGGTTGCTCTCAGCTAAACTTTCAACCAAATTGCCTCGTCAGAGGTTTGGGATATTGGTGAGTAAACATTTATGAGTCACAGTGCTTCTAGAATTTAGCTGCCTGGGAAGCAGGAGAGTGCCCAGGTTTATGTAATCCCTCAGCCAGGGAGGTCTCCCCAAAAAGCAGTGCATTGCTGCAGGTGGGTCCAGACAGATCTGCTTTCATCTTTCCCCCCACTACCAAAACATAGTAAAATTTTCCACTGAGTAGCTGTTGGGGGAAAAAAAAGTTAATGTGTTCTTCTTGAGTTATTAGTGTCAATTAATACCAACCCAAATCCCACTGTCTGAGGACAGCAGGAGCCCCACTGTGGATTTCCAATGCTGTCAATCATTATTTCTCAATGTAAAGACCATTTATACATTTATAACACAAGATACTATGTTATTTCTGTGAGGATACATTATCCCTAAGATATCAGCAGACTAAAAGCCTGGTACTGACACACTTTTTCTCTTCCTCTCCTTCCTGCAGACAGCAGACCTTCACTACAGTCACTGCTTTTCAGGTCACAGTTATGTTTTGCAGCCTCCTCTGCCCCTGTGGTGTTCAAGTGAATCAGAGAGACCTCACTGGACTCCTGCATGACCTCCTCCAGGGCACCAAAGCATGCCTCATTTCACTTTCATTCATTTAATTTCCAAACTTAAGGAAACCAAATTAAATTACTGTCATAATAATTCTGGGCACGTGTCTCTACACAGAGATGAATGTGGTTGAATTTGTCCACTTTAAATATTAATTCAGTGTAACTCCCCCTGTGCTCCCTGTGCAGTAGAGCCAATCAGAGGTCTTCCACAGAGCCAAGAGACTGGCATCTTTCAGGGAATTAGAGAAATAAAAATACCTAGGATGAGATTAATGTCACTTAACCTCATAAAGGCCCTCACCAGTTCATGCTGAGCAGTGAGGCACAGCTCTGCTGGCCTCTGGACAGGCACATTAGAAAGCTCCCTGGAGTGCTGAATTGAGGATGGCTGATAGCTGATGGATGTCTGTCAACATCAAAGATGATTCTCCCACCTTAGGATAGGTCAGTATCCTAAATGGGAAGGAAACAACATCAATTCTGTAAGGTAATGAACAGCAGTAATGGCAGCTGTAATACCCACTGAACTAACTGTGCCCCAGAAAAATGCCCAAAATAATTATGATGTGGAAGACCTGTGCTCCATGAAAGACAAACTTTCTTGAACTGGGAGCTGGACTGACTGAGATCAGAATAGCTTGGAATGACTTTTTAAAAAAATGAGTTTCCATCTTTTATTTCATTCAGTTTTCAAAACTGAGCCCTGCAGCACTACCTACCAAAAACTAGTGGGTCACACTCAGTCCTCCTAAAGTGCTGCATCACAAGCCAGGTTGGAACTATATAAACACAGGCATCTTGTGCCATTGGAGCTGCCATGGAGGCCAGCCACCCACAAGGGGGGTAGGTATAACACAGGAACCATGACACCTACCTTTCACCAGTGAGAAGGAGCAGTGAAGGGAGACCAAAGAGCATCCTGAAACACCACAGATGGCACTGGTTGCCCCTGTTGAGCTGCACTGCTTCCTTTGCATTCTTATTTGAGTCCTGTTTCCAATTGCTGTCCTGATGACCATTCACCTAGAGCCTTCCTCAGAAAGCTTCTAGAACTACTTTGTCAGGATAAACATATAATTGGGTAAAGAAATGAAGAAACTGTTCACCTGACACCTCATAGGCCACACAGGCGAACATGCAAGTGGAGAAAAGGTGCTAAAGATTGTGGTTTCATCCAGATCTGAGCCACCTTGATGGCTCTATCTTCCCTGGTGTCCTTTCTCCTGTTCCCAACCGCATGATGGCTCTCCCTCCCTTCCTCCTGGCTCCAGACTCTCTGGTTCCTCCTGGAACACAGCTCCAAATTGTCCACTCCTTCCTGGTGGATAAATGTCTCAGAGGAGTGTTGCTATAGTTGGCATAACATATGCATCAGAAAGATGGTTGAGACCAAAAAGGGGACTGGTAAATGGGAATAATGCCCTCATTCCTTCACAGCAGCAAAGAGCTGTTAAATTGACTCAGATTGCCATATGAGAACCCATCAAGGATAAATGTCTACACTACAGGGTATGAATATGTCCCTGTGAGTTTTCCTTAGCACTCAGAGCATCTGTGTGAGTAGCCAAGTGCTAAAACAGCCATAAGCCCTAAAAAAATCAGTTAAGAAAACACTAACAAATGTTGAAACCCTTTACTCTTTCCTTCTATAATAATCTGTTTTTAACTAAGATACAGAGCAGTTCCTGTTTGGAGAGACCTGAATTAACCTTCATGGTGTAAGACATTCCTCTTGCCAAGTAGTCAGGCTTTTCTTTTCTTCCTCATTTACTCCTTAATACCATTCTTTGGCAACACTTAGACATGAATTGCCAAGCTACTGCGCTGAGTAGAAAAATGACTGCATGTGCAATGGACTGCTCAGTGAGACAGGTCCCCTGTTTTTCTGCTAATTTTATTAATTAAAGCAGTTTATTTATTAATTTCATGCATTTTTTAATGCATGGAAGATGTTTACTTTTGCAAAACCATGGAGCACAGCGTAGCATAGGTATGTTTTTATTTGAGACACGAAATGATGAGCTAATTAACACGCTGTATTTGGTCAGCAGGTTCAGTTAGTTTAATTAGGTTAAGCAAGACTGCCTAAACTATTCCTGTGATTTGTCCCAAAGTCTACACTTGTATCACCTCAAGGATTAATGGTAATATTATATTGGTTGTATTGCTGTGAGATGGTAGAACATCATTTGGCATACGAATAGTTTTAAAATATGCCCCAGCTAAATAAGAAACTAGAGTGATTCCCATACAGAAGCTACATAAGCTGTAATTCAGAGAAGATGTATGACCAACATCTCTACGGAGTAGATTTTATCCTCCCTTCACACACCACACCCAGTGTCAGAATATAGGATCACAGGATGGGATCACAGGGCCCTTGGGTGGGCTCCAGTTCAACCTCCTGCTCAGAGTGATCCAGGACTGCAGGCCAGGTTGCTCAGGCCTTGGTCCAACCAGGTTTTGAAAATCTGCCAGGACAGAGATTGCACAGAGTCTCTGAGCGTGTTGGTAATGTTGGACTGTCTTCATAATTGTGAAGGTTTTTTTTTTGTATTTGAGACATATTTTTTATATCTAGGAGCAATAACTCTGAACCCTGGGAGGACATAAACTAAAAAAAATATTTCTTGCGCTTATCCACTCTACCAGTCTCTGATATCTTGGCCAAACTCCCAAGATTCTGTTGATTTTGTTGGGATATTTGTACACTGGGGAGAAAAGTCTGGATTGGTAAATCTGGAAAGAGGGTCTATGCATGTGGAGAAGGAGCAGAAGTTTTGTTAGTGCAGCAAATACCTGGACCACATGAAGCCCTGTGAAAGGATATATACCTCATAACCCAAAAATCCCCAGCATACCCCATTTTAGAATCCTTGCCCCCAAGAACATCAGGCTATTGTGCTCTGGAGCTGTTTTATGAGCCTAAACACTAGCTGAGCCGTGAGCTGATCCCACCTGACTGCAGAAACATGGCAGGAGGAGGAAAACAGGTCTCTGTGAAGGAGCACTATGAGCCAAAACCACAGACTTTTGCTAGGCTTCAGTAAGCAGCTGGCTGCACTTGTACACTTGAGTGCTTTGGGAAACCTTATCTACAATAACCGTCATGGATATAACAAAGTGTTTAAACAGCCTCACCCCACTGTGGCGGATCTCTCGGTGGTTAATCATAAACACAGGCAGAATCCTGATGGCAGCCAAAGGAAGAAGACTGGAGTGTCTGGCATGTGTGGGATGAGCTGCTGGAGGCCTGCTTGACACCAGACAACAGGAAGGTGTAGAAGATGGAGGAAAAAAAGCCCAGGTAATGTCTCTTTTCATTTATTTTTTTTGGTAGTGAAAATGCAAGACATCTGCACTTAAAAAAAAATAATTTTAAGAATACTTAGAGACTTAGAATTTTAACATTAAGGTGCTTGCACAATGGTTTCATTGAAGTCAGGAAGTTTGGGTTATTTTTTGGTTTTTTTTTGTTTGTTTTTTTTTTGAGGGGTTTTTTGGGTTTTTTTGAGGTTTTTTGTTGTTTATTTAGGGGGTTTTGTTTGTTTGTTTTTTGTTTGAAAATCTTCAAGAGAATATCTGTTTTTTGTAAAGTCTTCAAGAGAATATCATGAATTCTACTGAACTACAAGTAGGAGGAGATTAATGTCTCTGGCAAGCATATTTTCTTGTGTCTTTAGGTCTTTCTTGTCAAGTGTTTTCTACAATTTTAGTGTCTTCAGGACCACTCTGGCTCACACTTGGTGTTCATTGACCCAGCAGTGCACGATAAGAGAACAGAAATCCCTTGGAGCACCCTGGCCCAGGGCTGTGGGGCTTGAGTGTGTAAGAGTGGTTTCTGTGTCTGCATCAGTTGGCTTAACATAACTACTATCTCTCCCTGTAATTTTGTGATTCTATTCTGAAGAAGTACTTAGAAACAGCATTGCTGTGTTTCATAGGTAAAGGTAGATACATATATCCATCAGTTTATCCATTGAGAATGTATTTTGATTTCAATAGGATGCACTTAAAGGCAAAATTTGACA